AGTATAAAAAATCCTCGCTGTTTAAATGTTGACAATGGGGAAATCAATAGTGAAGATGTTTTCTAAAATATTCTAAATTCTGTTCTAAATAAGTATCCCTAAACCTGCAAATAGGACAGTATTCAACTCTTTGTGACAGTTCAAAGCATCTTTCACACCAAACCTGTAGTAACAAAATTGTGTTCACATCTACAACCTTCATAAAAGGTATCTTTAAATCAAGCCAGCATATACAGGTAATCCTCGATTTATGGCCACAATTGAGCCCAAAATTTCTGCTGCTAAACAAAATGTTTGTTAAGTGAATGTGGCCCCATTTTATGACCTTTCTTGCACCAGTTGTTAAGTGAATAGCTACAGTGGGTAAGTTAGTGACACGGCTGTTAAGTGAATCTGGCCGCCCCATTGACTTTGCTAGTCAGGTGGTTATAAACGGTGATCACATGACCAGAGGGACATGGCAACCGTCATAAATATAAGTCAGTTGGCAAGTGTCTGAATTTTGATCACATATCCATGGAGATGTTGCAATGGTTGTGTGAAAAACGGTCCTGTCACTTTTTTCAGTGCCGTCGTAACTTTGAACGGTCACTAAACAAGCTGTTGTTAAGTCGAGGACTAGCTGTACTTTGTACACAGTTCATCTTTAAAATTAGCAATGAAAGGGATTTTTCCTGGCCGAATGTTACACGTATAGACTGCAACATGTATGGCTTAAGTGTTCATCCTAAAACAAGGAAAGCCAAGTTATTTCTTGCAGTAGAAATTACATCATGTAATCTTATAGTTGTACAGTATGGAATAGCTGCACACAGCTCATAGGATTAGCCTTGTAATATTAATCTAAGTTTAAGCTACTAAAGATTGCATTGTCCAAGATAGGAACAGAAATTAATAGTAGGCATCCCTGAATTAAGAACAAGTTCCGTTCCTAATTCTGTCTTTACCCCGAATTTGTACACAAGTCACAATTCGTACTTACAAATGGACTGTCCATTACTAAAAATCCTGGACAGCGTTTTCCTTCCTCAAACCGATGAACCACTGAATTGGCCCAATGCTTTCCAGAACCACTAAAAACAGGCTCTCTATTAAAAACATGCACCATAATTGTCCCAAAGGTGCTTTTTCCAAAAGGCAAGTGGACTTTCTTGGGGTTTTTTTTTTCCCTTTGAAAATGTTTCGTTTCTCATCTAAGAAACTTCTTCAGTTCCTGAACTTAATGGAAGAAGCTTCTTCGATGAGAAGCGAAATGTTTCAAAAAAAAAAAAAAAAAAACAACCAAGAAAGTCATTGTCTTTTGGAAAAGCATCTTTGGGACAACCATGACTTGGGTGATTGAGAATCTCCTAGAACTAGACATTCATTTTGAGTGGTTCCTGAACAACTCCAACACTTCATCAATTCATGGAAGGATAACACCATCCACCATTTGTAGTAATAGTTAGCCGATTCATATTTAGATTGGCAATTTAAGTTGAACATTCTTAAACTAAGGATTACTTGCATCTGCAACCAAAACATTAACACAATCTGATTTTAATAAAGACAATATCCCATAGCATCTTCTACTAGGAAGGAAAAAGAGTTTAAACATTGTCCCAAAGGTGCTTTTTCAAGAGGCAACTGGACTTTCTGGGTTTTTTTTCAGCTCAGAACTGAAAAAGCTTCTTGGATGAGAAGAGACACGTCTTCAAAAGAAAAACCAGACCTGGATGACTGAGAATCTCCATAGACAGGTTTAAATGTTACTTTCACCATCAACCATGTCTTCTAATTACCCATTACCACCCGTGCGGCAGAGTGCGGCCGCGCGGGTGGTAATGGGAGCGACATGGAGTTCCCACGTAACACCCCTCCTGCGCGAGCTGCACTGGCTCCCGGTGGTCTTCCGGGTGCGCTTCAAGGTTTTGGTTACCACCTTTAAAGCGCTCCATGGCTAAGGACCTGGGTACTTGCAGGACCGCCTACTACCACCAATAGCCTCCCACCAGCTGGTACGCTCCCATAGAGAGGGGCTCCTCCGGGTGCCGTTGGCCAAACAATGCTGACTGGCGGCCCCCAGGGGGAGAGCCTTCTCTGTGGGGGCACCTACTATCTGGAACGAGCTCCCCCCGGAGATATGGAGGATCCCGGATCTGCGCACCTTCCGCCGCGCTCTAAAGACCTTATTATTTCACCAGGCGGGCCTGGCCTAATTTTCTCCCTCTTTTATAAAAGATTTTTAATTTTTTAATATCTTTTAGTATTTTATATATTCAAATTTTAAAATTGGTTTTAAATAGTTCGGAGTTTTAATTTGTCTGGGCCAAAACTATTTAATTTGATTTTAATTCTACTTTTAAATTTTGTATGTATGTGTTTTATTGTTTGGCTGTGCACCGCCCTGAGTCCTTCAGGAGTAGGGCGGTATAGAAATAAAATAAATAAAAAATAAAATAAATAAAAAATAACTGTACTGCATGGTGCCATATAGAAATCAACAGAATTCATTCAACAGTCGAAGCAAACGAAGTAGTACAAGTCTTATGAAGACTTGTCTTACTCATAAATGATAATCCTCCAAAGCTATTTACTAGCAACAGGGAGCCGAGATCCACAGCCTATATGCCTGAAATGCTGATTCAAAAGCTGAGTTGGGGGAGCATCCCTTGATTTCGAACAGCAGGGTAAGAACAAATATGGGGGACTTTCACCCATGCAGCTTATAAAACCCATAGTAAGTGAGCTGCCCTTTTCCTCCCCCAGTTGTTAACAGTCTGGCAAGTAATCTGCAACTCAGCAAACCTGGAGAACAAACAACAAATAATTCAGAGTGAATTTGAACAGGTAATTGATTAGACAATTCCTCTAAAATACATATTGATTTTTCAAGAAATCACAGGTTTACTGCCTGGCCAATTCCAAAACAATTATCATCACTAAATATTTATTGAGCAACATTAAGTACAGTATATCAAAGTGATACAGGATCTACAGAGCTCATTAAGCCATGGTAAAAGATACGAATCACCAACACTTTGCGTGATACTAGCCAAAACCTCAAATCAAATTATGAAGAGAGAGCTATGAAGGCCAAGAAAAGTAGATAAAAACCCAGAGGAAGTTAAAAAGTAAAATAAAGGCTTTTATCTTTCCCAAGTGTAAAGGGAGATCTTACACACAATTGGTGTTGTTGTTGTTTTTGTAGCATTTAAAGCAATATTTATTAGGCAATTATTCTGCTACAAAACACTTAGATCCAAATTGAAACTCTGTGACTGAACACAAATAACATTACTACTGCATTTCTCTAGTCTAGATTATTAGAGAAACCAGAGTCCTGGCATGATGAGAGAATGTGTATGTTGCAAAACTTCCTTTAATAATTTCCTTTCTGAACCCACCAAAAGTTCCTCAGGGCAAATTGACTCCTCTTACCTGGTACTTGAGTCATTCTTCTAACAACTATTTAAATAAAATTAGTGTTTTGAAACCCAATGCTACAATCAAAGAACAAACTACTCCATGAAAAAAAAAAAGTGAAATTTCCTAACCTTGCACAAACCCACAGCTCCTCTATTTTTTATTTTTTTTATTTAAAGAGCCTGCAACCCAAAGCACATTTTAGCCGTCAAAATAATAATTAAAAAAACAAACAAACCCACATAACTTTCAGATTCTGATTTGGAGTTGGAGAAACACACGGCCAAGTTACAGCAGCTTTTCACTTAAGCAGGTAAGATGAGTGGAAAGCAACAAATGTTCTTTTAAGGTTATCAAGTTTGCAACCTGTTGCTTACTCAAAAGGCCCAACAAGTTCAATCCGATTCCCTTTTTTTGCGTTTATAAAGCGTGTGTGGAACAATATGCCTATCGCCAAAAAGTATAGCTGGGTGTCGGGTTAATTTTGTGCCGCTCTCCCCTATGTACAGGAACACTGTTTGCACTGATCTCCCCTATGTACAGGAACACTCTATCATAAGCTTCATTCCCACTACCACCTTAAACGTGTGAATTGTCCAATACTTCCACAACATCCGGATCACTAGCTGTACAATTTTTCACGGATCGAGGAGCTGGTCTCACCAGGAGTCAGTGAACATCTGTGAGTTACTCAACGTTAGATACCTTTGCCTCACCATTGATAAAAAGGGCAGCTTACAGCAATTCCAAAAAAGCAAATTCCAAAAAGGGCAAAAGTGTAGGAACCTTAAGGGTGAAGAAAAAAAAAAAAAGATAACGAAGTCAAGATGAAAGGATGATTTCCTCTAAGGCAGTGGTTCTCAACCTGTGGATCGGGACCCCTTTGGGTCGCCTAAGACCATCCAAAAACACATATTTTCAATGGTTTTAGGAATAATTTTATGGTTGGGGGTCACCACAACATGAGGAACTGTATTAAAGGGTCGCGGCATTAGGAAGGTTGAGACCCACTGCTCTAAGGTGGCATGGGACGAAATTGGGGTCCAAGGAGAAGGGGGGAGATTACACTCAGCTAAGGAGAGGGGTGGGGGAATGGGAGGACGCCCACCGGGGTAGGTGCAAGGAATAGGTTCCCCTGATCCCAATGGATGTGTATAAAGGTTGAAAAAAGAGACTCCCTGGCCCATATTGCACCGCACCCTACGCCCTGCTCTGCTTCTGCCAGCGGGGCACCCCGAGGTCTCCAGATGTTCCTCCGCTTGGCTTAGGGAGCCTCTGGGCCACCTGGAGGGCATCTAGACTGCACACCCAAGGCCAGCCAGACCTCCCCCCAACTTCCTCTCCCTCTGTGAAAAAGGAACCGGGGTCCCCTCTGCTCTTTTTTGGGGGGGGGGGGGAAGAAGGTGCCCCTCAAAAGTCACCGGGGGGTGGAGGGGGCGGGAAGCTGACGAGCCCCTCCCCTCCCCCCCATCCCAAGCCTCTCCCTCACAGCCCTTAAGCCCGTTTAGCGGCGCCCATCCCGGGCAGGACGCCCCCCCGACCGCCACCCTCAGGTAGACTTCCCCTGACCAAGGAGGCTCCCCCGGCCAGCTCACCCCGCTTACGCCTGGGCGGACGGAGCCCGCGCCGAGGGGCCTGCTCTCCCGTTGCGGCGAGCCCGCCCCATCCCACGCAGACGGTCCGGCGGTGACAAGCGGCGGGTTTCTTCAGCCGGCCGGGAGGGCGGGGTGAGGTGGGGGGGTGGGGGTGGGGAGGACGAGTCTAGGCAATCCTCCCCGCCCCTTAGCGTGGCGGAAGGGGCGGGGGTCGGCGGAGCGGAAGGGGCGGGGTGTTTGTGTCTCACAACACCCCCCCCACTCCACTCCACCCGGCTGGCGAGGCCGCGGTTGCTAAGCGACGCGAGGCTTCGAGCGCGGAGCAGGCCGCGAGGCGGTGGGGACTGAGGGGGGGGTGTTCCCCCCCGCAGCGCTGCCTTGCGCGCCTCCTCCGTTCTATCCCCCCCATCGCGGAGCCAAACGGGCCCTTCGGCCCAAGAGGGACCCCCGGTCGAGCGGCGGCTGCCTCCGGAGACGCCCCCCCTCTTGGCCGCCTGCAGCTCCGACGGGGTGGGGGTGGCGGCAAAGGGGTGTCTTGTTGGGGCGCCGCCGCCTAGTGCAGGGGTCTCCAACCTTGGCCACTTGAAGCCTGGAGGACTTCAACTCCCAGAATTCCCCAGCCAGCAAAGCTGGCTGGGGAATTCTGGGAGTTGAAGTCCTCCAGGCTTCAAGTGGCCAAGCTTGCTGTTAATACAAGTATTAACAGTGGCAAGGATTGTGTTTGCAAAAAATTGGAAAAATGAGAAAATACCAACGCAGGATGAAGTTATTAAGAAAATAATGGAATGTGTTGATATGAGCAAATTGACATTTGAAATTAGAGAACAAGAAGACAAACAATACTATAAAGATATGGGACCTGTTTTATCAATGGTTAGATAAAAAAAATATGGAATTGAAATATGGTAAGAGATCTTCATAACGCAAGAATTGTGGAACTATGTGAAATATAACAAAGAGGTATTATTACTGGATAGATTCAGGCGGATGAAATGAATGTTATAATAAAAATTAACTCAAATCTTAGAATATCTTAAATAATCATGAGGGAAGAAATAGCCATAGTCAAATAAATGATTAATGAGAATAATAATATATAGATATTTATTAGGTCGATGATATGAGAATTTAGGTAAATTGTAAGCTATGAATTGATGAATGATGCACAAAAGACTTGTAACCAACCAACACACTGTTTGCAATTGAAGATGGTTTTATGTATGTTTGTTTAAATATAAAAAAAAATTGTTCAAAAAAAAAAGTTGCCAAGGTTGGAGACCCCTAGCCTAGTGGGTCCCCCCCCCACTTTCCCCCTCCTTGCCCAACATAATATATGGCATCGTGCCAGCTGCCCGAAATAATGAGGGTATATTTGCTCTGGCCCAGATGGATCGGTTTCCTCTGGCCGTTTAATCGGTATTTTAATTTTTAAACTAAAAAAAAGCAGGGATGGCTGGGAATGGGTTTTTTTTTTTTTTTTAGCAGAATGAAGAGAAGCAACCTGGAATTTAGGAGAAATTTCCTAACAGTGTGGACAACCAGTGGAACAAGTCACCTTGCCTCCAGAAAGTTGTGAATTTCAGCCACTTGTTTGAAATGGTCTCTTGCCTGAGAAAGGAGTTATACATATAAATATACTGTACATATAAAAACATCTAACAAACTTTTAACAATATTGACAGTTTCTGTAAATATGAAAGCATCTATTGAACTTTTTAGCAATATTGACAATTTCTGTAAATATAAAAACATCTATCGAACTTTTTAGCAATATTGACAGTTTCTGTAAATATAAAAACATCTAACAAACTTTTAACAATATTGACAGTTTCTGTAAATATGAAAGCATCTATCGAACTTTTTAGCAATATTGACAATTTCTGTAAATATAAAAACATCTATCAAACTTTTTAGCAATATTGACAGTTTCTGTAAATATAAAAACATCTATCAAACTTTTAACAATATTGACAGTTTCTGTAAATATAAAAACATCTATCAAACTTTTTAGCAATATTGACAGTTTCTGTAAATATAAAAACATCTATCAAACTTTTTAACAATATTGACAGTTTCTGTAAATATAAAAACATCTATTGAACTTTTTAACAATATTGACAGTTTCTGTAAATATAAACTTTTGAATTTTTAACAATATTGACAATTTCTGTAAATATAAAAACATCTATTGAACTTTTAACAATATTGACAATTTCCACAAAGGTGGTCTCTGTAATATTTCTGTACCAGATCATAACTTGGAGCCATACCCGGGGAATATGAATATGTTGCTATGGAGGCATAAGTGCTAGTGTGTTACACCCAGACCAAAAGTGTATTTACATTAAGGAACATGGCAGTGTGCTTTTGGATAAGTTTCTGGAAAAGAAGTTAAAATTTCTGGACTTGGTTAATATGCTGTAAGCCTCCCGGAATTGTGTTGAAACGAGATGGGTGGCAAATAAATTCTAATAAATAAAACAAACAGCCAGATGTCTCAAGTAGCACAATTTGTTTGAGCAAAGAAATTTAAACGATATCTTTTTACAATGTTGATCTAATAGGCAATTGCTACTCTACCCATATTCTGCTTGGTGCTTTAAATAGGTAATAAAGCCTCCCATTGCATTATAAAGCATTTCCATCCATGAATGGCACTAACTTTTTTTGCTGATAGAATTTGCAGTAATTGTTTTTCTTAAGAATTGAATACACGTGGCTCTTGCGTGTGTTTTACATGATTTTCCATAAATCTTTTGCTCTCGAAATAGTACTCCAAACCTGATTGGCTGCCTTCTCCTAAATCTGAATTCATGGCTCATTTCAATGATAGGACCAGAAGCACCAACAGTACCATCAATATGTAAAACCATTTGGCACGCACATAGTTATGGAAGCTCTGGGCTGAACTTGAAGGTAGAAGGAAAAGATGGGGAAGCAAAGGGTAGAAATGATGGCATTTAAAACCTTTTCTGAGTTTTGAGGAAATCTGAAACACCTGAATCGTTTCAAGTTTTATTCTGCCAAAGTCAGCAAAACTCAAACCATTTCAACAGATTGTTCAGCATGGAGAGTTTATAGCCTTGAACTCAAAATAAGACCCGTTTCCTGATTCATCTTTATCCCACATATCTTAAAAATTGCTGAGATTGAGAAACGCTGCTCTGGAATCAAACTTACTGTTTGTAAAGATAACATTAATATACTTATTACACAATGGGGACTCCTTTGGTTCCAGATTGTAGCCATTCCATAGCGGTCTTAATCAAATAAAGTAGCTTTTTCCAATCTCAGATTGTTCCAAGACTGCAAATGTCGCAACTCTTCTGGAGGGCACCAGGTTGCTGAAGGCTTTTATTTATTCATTTCATATGGCGTAACAATATACAGCAATAATGCATAAAGTTCACACAAAAAAAACCAGCATATAAAATGTGTAAAAATATATAAAACACCAGAACAGTGAATTAGTTTTAAAATGCACAATATGAATGATGAATACAATTAAATTATGTATGAGCAGTTACTAAAATGGCTAAGCCTATGGCCGGATATCTAGATAATTTAGCCATTGGACAGCACTGCCCTCAAGATATGTAGTTCTTGCAGGGATCCAGGGAACCTCCTGAGGGGGCATTCTGTTGCAATATGATGTAAAGTTTGTGGGACGTTCGCACAGTCACAGTATTACCAACTAGCCCCCAGTTGTATTTCCAATATTGGCACCTGCCATGGTTGCTTCAGATCTTTTTTTAGAATAACAAAGTTGGAAGGGATCTTGGAGATCTTCTAGTCCAACCCCCTGCTTAGGCAGAAAACCTTACACCACTTCAGACAAATGGTTATCCAACATCTTCTTAAAAACTTCCAATGTTGGAAGCATTTACAACTTCTGGAGGCAAGTTGTTCCACGGATTAATTATTCTAACTGTCAGGAAATTTCTCCTTAGTTCTAAATTGCTTCTCTCCTTGATTAGTTTCCACCCATTGCTTCTTGTCCTGCCCTCAGGTGCTTTGGAGAATAGCTTGACTCTTTCTTCTTTGTGGCAGCCCCTGCGATATTGGAACACTGCTATCATGTCTCCCCTAGTCCTTCTTTTCATCAAACTAGACATAACTAGTTCCTGCAACCGTTCTTCATATGTTTTAGCCTCCGGTCCCCTAATCATCTTTGTTGCTCTTCTCTGCACTCTTTTCTAGAGTCTCAACATCTTTTTTATATCGTGGCGGCCAAAACTGGATGCAGTATTCCAAGTGTGGCCTTATCAAGGCATCATAAAGTGGTATTAACACTTCACATGATCTTGATTCTTTCCCTCTATTTATGCAGCCTAGAACTGTGTTGGCTTTTTTGGCAGCTGCTGATCCGGTTGAGCGCTGTCCAGTTTTTCCTTGGAAGATCAAAGCCGGAGGGGCATTGTAACGGATCAGTGGAGGTGGCTGAATGGGAAGAAAATGCAGGTCACGGACTTGTTTTTCTTGCCGGAAAGGATGTGACACTACAATTATTCTTCCAGCTGTTATGCTTCTGCCACAGCTGTCATTGAACGGCAGTTTTAGGGAGCATGCTATTCGACTGTAGACCTTCGGTTCAACTAGGCACATGCTTTGTTGATGTCCAGCTCCTGGCATTGTTCCACTTTCAAAATAACAAGTGATCTGCTTTGGAGCAGAGTAAACAAACGAGCCTGGGTTGCATTCTCGGGTGTCAGATTGTCAAGCTGCTACTTTAAATGACCATGGCTGACCAGTGTGTTTCACTGGGCCCTGAAGATCTTGCACCCCCAACTGAAGACATCCCCAGTGTTCAAGATTTAGAGCAGCTCCTGAATACTGGGAGCCCTTCCTGCCACCACACTGACGAAGTCTGGCCTAATCTTTTCTTAGGAGATCAGTAAGTATATTTGTAGGAGAGCATTTCAGCCCCTGTCCTACATAATTATGGCAACCATACAGATTGTGTCCAAGGATTACTTAATGCAGACATGTGATTAACTGCTGTAGTAGCTAAGCATAGTTATATCTCCGCCTGAAAAGCCATGACTGCGGGTGTTACTGGAGCCTAATGTTTTACGAAATCATGTTTTGAGCAGATAAATTAGATTAGCAATTGCCAAAAGACACTAACTTCTTCCAGTATACACGATAAGTCTGCTTTGAGTCAAGCAAGCCTCAATTGCACCCTCACCCTGCCACCTTGATTTCTGACCAAAATTTGTCAACACCTTTCGATGGTATGAAATTGGCTTTTATTTCCTGTGAAACATTTCCCTTATGAAAGGTGATTTAAATTTTAGAGGGAGAGAAAGACCTAAATACAGGTGGTCCAAGACCTAAATAAATAACAACCACAATTGAGCCCCAAAATTTCTGTTGCTAAGTGAGACACTTGTTAAATGAGTTTTGTCCCATTTTATGATCTTTCTTGCCTCAGTTGTTAAGTGAATCACTGCAGTTGATAAGTTAGTAACCCGGTTGTTAAGTGAACCTGGCTTCCCCATTGACTTTGCTTTCAGAAGGCAGCAAAAGGAAATCCCATGACCTTGGGATACAGCAATGGTCGTAAGTATGAAACAGTTGCATCTGAATTTTGATCACGTGACCATGGGGAGGCTGCAAAGGTTGTAACTCTGGAAAATGGTCATAAATCACTTTTTCCAGTGCTGTGGTAACTTTGAACGGTCACTAAATGAACTGTCGTAAGTGGAAGACCACCTGTACTTTTTCCTGACAATATCTATCTCTGTGTTTTTTCTCCAGCGTAACAGCACATAGCAGATTTGACTTATGGAAAATGGGGATTAGCCACATTTTAAATGCAGCTCACGGCACTCTATATTGCCAAGAGTCGCATGATTTTTATGGCACAACGATTGAATACCGTGGTGTACCAGCTCACGATCTTCCCGGTTTTGACATAAGCCTATACTTTTACTCTTCTGCAGAGTTTATACACAAGGCTTTGACTACACCCGGAGGTATGGAAATCATGGCAGCTGTTATTAAGCTTCCCCGCAACCTGTTTTTGTTAAGCGCAGGGGAAATTAGAAGATTCAGGCAGTTCAAATGAATATGAAGACTGATTGCAAGCTTAAACTCTCTACAAAAATCTGGCCAACTGGTCCTTAAGTGAAATGCATGGGAGATAAGAGAGGCATTCACGATGGGCTGGACAAAGATCTCTTGTGGGCACGCAGGGACTCGTGACTTATGACACGTTTGACCCCTCCCTCGGGCTCAGCCTGGTCATCTACGATTTTCTCCTCGATAATGTTTTCAAGCCAAGTGGCCATGTTGCCTGGGTTCATGGCTTTCTGATGGCCTCATCATCCTGGATCCTCAAGATCACAGTGGGCCTGTGAGAACAGCCGGATCTTCCCTCAGTGAGGTGAATCATACCACTTTTGCAGAACTCAAAGCAAATTGCAGTCATCTTGGATAGGCCCAGGTGACGCAATCCTGAAGGGCTGGTGGGAAGCAATTGCATCCAGTCCAGTGAATGGGTGATTGTGTGAATTAGCAGGTCGTCTGTGGCAGCCATTTTGCGATGGCATCCATGACATGCCCTCAAGAAGACCAAATTTTGGCCAAAAGCCTTTCCTTTCCTTTTGTGTGCTTTTTCAAAAAACACCATATGTAAAGATTTTTTTTTTTAAATTTTATTTATTAATCAAATGTATGTGGCTGCTCATCTCATGGAAAGTGACTCTGGGCAATGTACAACATTTCTGTAAGAAGGGTCAATACATAAGGCAATCCTTAGTTAAAACTATTGTATGATCATTATTAAATAGAATTAGAAATAAGGAGAACTTTTCTGACAGTGAGAACAATCTACCAATGGTGCCATGCGCTTCCATCGGCCGCCCTGTATGGCAAGTATAAAAAGATACCACTGACTGAAAGACTTTGTTCCTGTGGCTGAGGAGAGGTGGAGACAGTGGTGGGTTTCAAATTTTTTTACTACCGGTTCTGTGGGCATGACTTGGTGGGCGTGGCATTGCTTGGTGGGTGTGGCTTGGTGGGCGTGGCCGGGGAAGGATACTGTAAAATCTCCATTCCCACCCCACTCCAGGGGAAGGATACTGCAAAATCTCCATTTCCTCCCAATTTGGGAGGCAGAGAATAGATGGGGGCGGGGCCAGTCAGAATTTTTACTACCAGTTCTTCGAACTACTCAAAATTTCCGCTACCAGTTTTCCAGAACTGGTCAGAACCTGCTGAAACCCACCTCTAGGTGAAGTCTGTGGGTCACATATTCCTTCGATGTTCCTTTTACACAGAGATTCGGAAAAAACATATTCTGCCAATAATTGCTAGGCATCCTGGCCATTCCGACACGGCTTATCTCCAGTGGCTGCTTAAGGACGAACAGTCCATAACTACAGCGCAGGTGGCTAGATTCTGCACAGCAGCACCGGGGATTCATCGGAAAGACATGTCTAATCCACCATAGTTATGTTATATAACAAATGTGACAAACCCTTTGCACTGCTTAGTCCTTTCCCTTTTAGTATTAAACTGACTCCTGGCCCCACAGTTTATAGATTGTAATTTTAGTACAGTTAGACCATGTATAATTGACAGGCTGGATTTTATCATAGATTTTAGTTGTTATTTATTATTTTATACTAGCATTTTAAATTGTATATATACTGAGTGTTTTAATTTGTTCCGGTCTCTGGTCTATAATTGTAATAAACTAAATTGAAATCAACCCATGGAACAGAAGTTGCCTTCAGAAGTTGTGGCAGCTTCATCACTGGAGGTTTTCAAGAAGAGACTGGACTGCCATCTGTCAGAAATGGTATAGGGCACGGGCATCAAACTCGCCGCGTCACGTATCGCGATGATTTTTCCCTTCACGGAGCTGGGGTGGGCATGGCCTGTGCATGACTCAACCGGCCCACAGGCCGCCAGTTTGACACCCCTGGTGTAGGATCTCCTGCTTGGGTGGACTAGATGACCTACAAGGTCCCTTCCAACTCTGTTATTCTGTTAAATTATCAAAGCAGAGAAGGGAGAGAAATAATAATGGAGGGATGTTAATAATAAGGGAGCCACCTCATGAGTTCACCAGTCTCCTGGGGTTCCCCAGGCTTAATAACCAGGTCTTGAGGGACCTTCAGGAGTGATGAGGCCAACATTATCTCAGGGATGGGGGAAGACTCCACAATATGGGTGCCATAGAAGAAAAGGGCCCCCTTAGGGGACCACCAATATGTAGCTCTGTAGGCAATAAAACCTATAAGAAATACATTCTGTTAGATCTGGTGAGGCGGGCAGATGAAATTGGGAAGGGGGGGGGAGTCCCTCAAATAACTGATCCTGTGCATTGTAAGGCTTTAAAGGTGAATACCAATACCTTGAATTGGACTTAGAAACGTTGTGGCTGCTCTATTAGAAACACATATAAATGCTTGCACCACTGCATTTTTCATCAGCTGAAATTTCTGGAACCCAACACCGAGTGCAGAGAAGAGCAACCAGGATGATTAGGGGACTGGAAGCTAAAATATACGAAGAACGGTTACAGGAACTGGGCATGGCTAGTCTAGTGAAGAGAAGGACCAGGGGAGACATGATAGCAGTCTTCCAATATTTGAGAGGCTGCCACAGAGAGGAGGGGGTCAAGCTGTTTTCCAAAGCACCTGAAAGCAGGACAAGGAATAATGGATGGAAATCGATCAAGGAGAGATTCAACCTGGAAATAAGGAGAAATTTTCTGACAATGAGAACAATCAACCCATGAAACAGAAGTTGCCTTCAGAAGTTGTGGGTGCTTCATCACTGGAGGTTTTTAAGAAGAGATTGGACTGCCATCTCTCAGAAATGGTGTAGGATCTGCTTGGGTTGGGGGTTGGACTAGATGACCTACAAGGTCCCTTCCAACTCTGTTAATCTAATCTAATTTATTGCTTTTATTTCCAGGCAAAATCTTTGTCCACTGCGCCTTTGGGATAAGCAGGTCCTCCTCTTTGGTGCTGGCGTACCTTATGATCTACCATAATTTCTCGTTGGTTAAAGCGATTCAGACAGTAAAAGAACATTGGTGGATCTTCCCTAATCGAGGTTTCCTGAAACAATTAAGAAATTTGGACCTTCAACTAAGAAAAAATCCGAACAAATAAAGCAATGGAATATGCACATTTTAAAAAGACGACACATCTCTTGCAGGCGTTCTGTCAATTGGTGCAATACATACCAAAATTATTCTTTTAGCTCGGTTGCAGATAATCGCTTTTTGCCTGGTAAAATTCGCAATGTTTGCAGAATGTTGTATTTTTGTATATTTGTTCACAGGGAACTGATGCGGACTAATGGGAGACTTAATAAAAAGAGGAAAAAAGAGCCTTGTTCAGGAAGAAGAAAACAAGAAATACAGAAAGAGTGCAGAGAGATCAGTGAGACATTTTAAGACGTGCACCTGCCTCCCACTGTCAGATGTCAAAAAGTAACTGGCACACAACACAGCAAGGTCCTGCTGTGATAGAATATGAACAAACTGTGCAACAATCATTTGCTAGCCAGCTTATTTGCTTCTGAAGTCAACCGTCACCCTTTGCAAATGGACACCATCAGATCCAACATACTGTCCGTGAAAGAACTGGAATGTCGTATAGATAACTGTAGGTTGGAGTCACATGCACTAGATGAAGTGTGGCCCAAAATTTATATAGGTAACATGTAAGTATTATCTTGAAGGGAAGTATTGATTAACTGGGCTAAACAGTATTTACAGAGGAAACTGTTTTGGCAATGCAAAAATATTAAGTGCCTGAAGAAAACCTGTTGTTGAAGGATAAATGTACACCATTGTTTAGCTCTCTTTCAGAAGGTTGGGAAGTTGGAATTAGCTTTCAATTAAAATAAAATTTAAAAAAATCTTTCTCTTTAGACTACTAATGCTAATAGACAGGCAAGAAATCAGCAGAGACAATAATGTTCCATCAGCTGCAACTGTCTCTAAAATATGTCATGGGACTCAGTTGAATTTATACCTTCTGTTGCATGTTCTGTATGTTATACTTGTCCGAGATGCGTTCTCAAATTGAATTTCTGCTTTGGACTCAGATTTCTTTTTATCTGACATTGTCTTGTTGCACCTTTTACATCTGTGCCTCAAGGTTCTCCCTACTTCCCATTATAGGACTCAATAACTCAGTCCATCTGGAAGTATGGAATATTGAAACCCAAAGTGTAAAAAGCTTAAATTGTAAAAAATATTAAGAATGAAAAAGAAGAATGTGTATCTTGTTTGCTTGTGAAACTCACAAAGGAAATAGATCTCCACAAAGGGTTTAAGAATGCAGGAAAGAGAAGCTCTACTCTTAATTACCAAAATAACTATCAGAAAATATGAATTGAGCCATCCCTAATGTTGTGGATACATATGAAAATAGAGATTTAATGGCTGGCGACACTTGCATTTCACTCCAAGGAACACTGATAATAGAAGGAACAGGGATGGGTTTTGAGTGAAAAAAAAAATATTCTGAATGAATGCAATCCAGGGAAAACATTATTCTGTTATGTGTTGTGGCTCCGACCCCCAAGCCCGTCTTATCAGAGGAAAAAGGCTCCGAAAGGGAAGGAGAGGAGTTGGCCGGGCCTCCCTCTCCAGGACCCTCCTCTCTGGCAATGCCTCAGGTGTCTCCCGATGGAGAAGTGATTGGCCAGGAGCCAGGTATCCCCACGCAGGCGCAGTCGGACAGTTGCGGGGATGAGTCTTGGCTGGATCCACGCCAGCGTCAGAGAGATAAGCGCATGCAACAAAAGAGGAGGCATGCCAGAGATTAGGCTGAGTCACTGGACCACACCCCACAGGGTATAAAAGGTAGCGTGGTGGCCAGTCAAGCCTTGTGACGAACAAAGCTGAAAGCTTCCACACCATTCTGCATTGTCGGACTTTTGCTATAGGCTTTGCTGGATTATATTTGGACTTAATTTACTCTGTAATTATTGAACATTTTACTTTGATGTACCAGAAGCGGAGAGAAGTTATCTCTTCCCTTCGTGAGTAATAAACTCTTGGCAGGCAGCCACTAGGTTGCTGCCAAGTTCCGTTATCATAAGGATAAGGATTTTGTCGGCTGGTTTGGTTTTTAACTCTTGGACGTCTGTTGGTGTGTGTGCGTGTGGGACAGGGACAGAACACTATGGGACATGAAAGAATGGATGGGAATGAGATGAGAGAAAGCAGAAAAAAGTGATTGGGTTATTTAGAGCAGGGGTCTCCAACCTCAGCAACTTTAAGCCTGGAGGACCTCAACTCCCAGAATTCCCCAGCCAGATTTGCTTCCGGAAGTTGGCAAACAGGCCGTTTTCGGCCTCCAGAGGGCGTCCGGGGAGGTGGGGAAGGCTGTTTTTGCCCTCCCCAGACTTCTAGAAAGGCTCTGGATTCTGGAGAGAGAGAAAAACGGTTCTACCATGCCATCGCGTGCCGGGGGGGGGGGGGGGGGGGGGGGGTCGTGCGCGCATGCGCGGGGGCAGGGTGCATAGAATTATGGGTTTGGGCACACGTGTGCAACCCCCCCCCCACCTGCTCCTGGCATGCGATGGCAAAAAGGTTAGCCATCACTGGACTATTGTATTAAAAGGTAGATTAATTTTCCAATTAAATTGGGAAACAAATTCCCAACTGCAAGATACTTGCAGTAGAGTGAGTAAAAAGTGAAAAGAAATACTGAGCACCAAAATTACATTAATGGGAAATATGAGAAAGAGTGCTTAGTGAAATGATGAAAGGGAAAAGGCTATAAATGAAAAAAAAATCCATCCCTAAAAAATTTGAGCGAAGGAAATATATAATGTATACAGAAAGCAACAAAGTCAAATAGAGGAAGAAAAAGTTAAAATTAAAGAGAAACCAATATTATGCCCCTACACAAAAGGAACAATAACAACTCTGAATACAAAATGCAGAATGGGGAAGTTTTTAAAGTATTCCTTGGACGTTTTTTGGTGGAATTCTGACTGAAAAGGCACCTGAGATAACTATGATTAAAGTTGGCAAGTGCATTTCGGCTTTACTCTGGGCAAGGGGAGGTGCAAATCTGATTTTGGCTTTTTGCTAGGTCATTGAGAAATACATGAACATGGGTTTTTTTGGGAGGGGATGTAGAGAAAGCATGTGATAAAGTGAATTATGGAATGTTTTCTGCAAATACAGTTTTGCAGGTTGATCACCAAATGCAAACGAGGGATACAAGATTGAAATTAAGCAGCATGAAATCTTTGCAAATGGTTCAGAAAGTGATTAAGAATCATTTGCAATGTTCCCGTTTGCAAATTGTAGATTGTGGGATGCAACAAGGAATATTTAACCTACCAAACACCAAAATATCTATGTTTGACAGAGAAAATCGAATGAACTACTGCACTTTTTTTATACTGTATAAATTGCATAAATAAACATAGAGCAAAAGAGTGAATTTATGAATCCTGTACAGTAATACGTTTACTGAAGATGGAGAAGCAGATGGAGAAATTTAAAGGCATGCAAAATACAAGGCAGAGGTTATCAATGATATCTGGTCCTTTGGGAAAGAACAAATGTTTGTCAAAAGAAGGAAAAATAGATCTGTATAAAAGCAAGATTTTTGGCCCCTGTTGATGTGTGAAGTGACTATTGGATATTCCCGTGATGGGGAACCTATAGCAAAAGTGGCCACAGCTGGCACACGGAGCCCTTTTGGCGGGCACGTGAAACATTGCCCAGTTCAGCTCCACCACACATATGTGCATGCCTCCTGCCCACCAGCTGATTTTTAGGATGCACGGGGAGGGCGGGGTGCATGCAGGAAACACGCGTGGGGTACTGCGTGCCCCCCGCAGCCCGTTTTTGGGCCCAGGAGGCTGTATGGAGGCCTACTAAGCCCAAAAGGGGGCATGGCGGGGCTCCGGCTCGCTCTCCCCCTTGGCCCATTTTCGGGCCCAGGAGGCTGCAGGGAGGCCTACTAAGCCCAAAACGGGGGACAGGGTGGTTGCATCTGCATGCACAGGGATCGGGGGAGCATGGGGGGTCCTGCACACATGCGCAGGATCCCCCGCATTGCATTATGGGTGCTGGCATGCACGTGCCCATGTGACGAGAAGGTTTCACTGGGCTATCCCAAGAAAAATATAAAAATTATAAATATAAAAGCAACTTGAATAATGGGAGATGACTTGGCATTCGCACCCTAATCCTCTATCACGTTGTCCTCCCAATTTGCACACCTGTGTCTGGGCAGGGTCACAGCGCACAACAAGGAGGAGCTGAGTCGACATGGCATCACCCACATACTGAATGCAGCACACGGTGCTTGGGGGAGCAAAGGAAACCAGACCTTCTATGGATCAGAATTCTCTTACTACGGCATAGCAGCAGAAGACTCTGTAGATTTTGACCTAAGTGTCTATTTTCATCCAGCCTCAAAATTCATCCACCAAGCACTCAGAGCCCCAAAAGGTGAGTCTCAGTCTTTACAGCAATGTTTCTCAAGCTTCGCAGCTTGAAGATGTGTGGACTTGAACTCCCAGAATTCCCCCACCAGCATAGCAAGCTTGAGAAAACAGTGCTTTCCAGAAACAGCCAAGACTGAAGTCATTATTTCATGTAGAAATCTTAGGCCACATCCAGAACTTGAAGCAATAATATTTGTACCATATTCAGGGGTGAAATCTACTTATCTTCCCTACCGGTTCGGAAGTGCCCGTGCCATGGGTGTTATGTGCGCATGTGCAAACCCTTCTGCGTATGCACAGAGGGTAAAAAACAGGTTACTTCCTGGAAGTAACGACGACCAGGTGGGTGGGTGGAGCACTATCGTCGCTACCAGTTCTCCGAACCACCCGCCGCCATCACTACCGTTTGACTGAACCGGTCTGAACCGGTAGCATTTCACCCCTGACCATGTTGTCTCTGTAACTCCAGAAACCTATTGTCCACATAAAGTTCCATCTCAGCACTAAAATTCTTAGAATTAGCGGACTGAGATTCTGTATTTTAAAAAAAATTGTTTCAGAGATGGTGTTATTAGCCATGTCAGATGGAATTGTTGGTATCTAATGAAGTCTAACACAACAGAATAACAAAATAACAGAGGGGACCTTGAAGGTCTTCCAATCCAACTCCCTGCTCAAGCAGGAGACCTTATACCAGGGATGACAAACTTAATTTCATTGAGGGCCGCATCAGGTTTGTGTTTGATCTCAGGGGGGCATGGCCAGGGTGGGCATGGCCAGCTCAACGTCACTCATGTCAGGGGCGCCTGTGGTGGCCCGAGCACTCTGCCAGCAAAAATAGACTCTCAAGCTCTCTTTTTGGTTGCAACAACCTCCTGCAGCCCTCCGGAGCTCCATTTTCGCTGGCAGAGGCACCATGGGCCAGTCCTTTGCTGTTTTCAGGGCGGCCCCACAGGCCAGATCTAAGCACCTCATGGGCCAGATGCAGCCCCCAGGCCTTGAGTTTGACACCCCTGCCTTATATCATTTCTGTTGTGGCTCCATTGCCTGAGCCTGGGCTATCGACAGATGCAGACTCTGAGAGTGAGGGAGAGGAGTTGGCAAGGCCTCCCTCTCCAGGACCCTCCTCTCTGGCAATGCCTCCGGAGGACCCCGAAGGCCAAAAGATAGGCTCAGAGCCAAGCACGTCCCCGCAGCCACAGGTGGACAGCAACGAAGAAGATAAGTGCTGGCTGGACCCTCGGCAGAGGCGCAGGGAGAAGCATGCGCAGCAGAGGGGAAGGCGTGCCAGAGATTAGCTGAGTCACTGGACCACACCCCACAGGGTATAAATGTGGGTGTGGTGGCCGGTTCAGTTTGTGACGAGCAAAAACTGGAAATACTCCATGATCTTTGCGTTACTGGACTTTGCCTGCTTTATCGGACTGCATTTGGATTAATCCTTGTATTGTTGAAACTCTGCCTGTTTTATCGGAATGCTTGCAGTCTAATCTTTGTTTTGTGTGAGTAAAGTCTGAATTGGCAGCTAGCCACTGGGTTGCTGCCAGCTGTATCTTCAAAGAGTTTTGTCATGTGGCTTATTAATTCCGGGCTGTCTGTGGGGGTGCGTGTGTGGTACAGGGACAGAACAATATTCCATGATATAAGAGGCTCTAGAAAAAGTGCAAAGAAGAGCAACAAAAATGATTAGGGGACCGGAGGCTGAAACATACGAAGAACAGTTGCAGGAACCGGGTATGCCTACTCTAATGAGCAGTACAACTAGGGGTGACAAGATAGCAGTCTTCCAATATTTGAGGGGCTGCCCCAGAGAAGAAGTCAACCTATTCTCTAAAGCACCAGAAGGCAAGACAAAAAGCAAAGGATGGAAACTAATCAAGGAGAGAAGCAACTTAGAAATTAAGGAGAAATTTCCTGGCAGTGAAGACAATTAATCAGAGGAACGGCTTGCCTTCAGAAGTTGTGGGTGCTTCATCACTGGAGGTTTTTAAGAAAACACTGGACAGCCACTTGTCTGAAATTGTTCTGTCCCCGTACCACACACGCACCCCCCACAGATGGCCCGGAATTAATAAGCCACACGACAAAACTCTTTGAAGATAAAGCTGGCAGCAACCCAGTGGCTAGTTGCCAATTCAGACTTTACTCACACAAAACAAAGATTAGACTGCAAGCATTCCGATAAAACAGGCAGAGTTTCAACAATACAAGGATTAATCCAAATGCAGTCCGATAAAGCAGGCAAAGTCCAGTAACGCAGAGATCATGGATTATTTCCAGTTTTTGCTCGTCACAAACTGAACTGGCCACCACACCCACATTTATACTCTGTGGGGTGTGGTCCAGTGACTCAGCTAATCTCTGGCACGCCTTCCCCTCTGCTGCGCATGCTTCTCCCTGCGCCTCCCTGCGCCTCCCTGCGCCTCTCCCTGCGCCTCTGCCGAGGGTCCAGTCGTCACTGTCTACCTGTGGCTGCGGGGATGTGCTTGGCTCTGAGCCTATCTTTTGGCCTTCGGTGTCCTCCGGAGGCATTGCCAGAGAGGAGGGTCCTGGAGAGGGAGGCCTTGCCAACTCCTCTCCCTCACTCTCAGAGTCTGCATCTGTTGATAGCCCAGGCTCAGGCAACGGAGCCACAACAAATATATTGTATATATTTTATAACAAGGAAAGGCTATCTTAAAGCAAAACCAAAATCATCTTCATTTAACGACCCCATAATTCCTTGCGGGGTGGAGTTTGGGCAACTCAATGGAGCTAGCAGAGTGTTTAATGGCCGGATGCCCTTCCTCTCGCAAGTGCAGAGTTTTGTTCGGCAGATATATTCTCAGTGTGCCCAGAGAGAGAAATAGCTGCCTCTACCTAGGATAGGACTCACAGCCTCCTGAGTGTGAGGCGAGAGCTCCACCTCTAGGCTCACTGCACCACTCCAAAGCAAAACCAAAATATCTTTTTTTTTATGTTGTCTTCTTCTCTCTTCCTTTTCCCCCTGTGCAGGAAAAATTTTGGTTCATTGCATTCTAGGCAGAAGCAGATCCCCAGCTTTGGTTCTAGCTTACTTGATGATTTACCAGAACTTGTCTCTGGCTGACGCTCTCGAAATGCTTCTGCAGCGTCGAGCAATTTCCCCAAACCGGGGATTTCTAAAACAGCTTCAAGATCTAAACCTGGAACTGCATTGCAAGAAAACCCTGTGTCGACTTTTATGAAGTTAGCACCCATCCCTCTCCTAGAAGAATGAAATATTTTAGGAAATATTAAAAAGGCAGAATGTTATATTTCCCTGGATGAGAAATGGAGAAACATGTTTTTTAGGCAGGAAGTAGACTCACTCTTAATAGCCCCCACACCAGGGCTGAAATCCAGCAGGTTCTGACAGGTTCTGGAGAACCGGTAGCAGAAATTTTGAGGAGTTTGGAGAACCGGTAGCAGAACTTTTGAGTAGTTCAGAGACCGGCAAATGCCACCTTCTGGCTGGCCCCAGAGTGGGATGGGAATGGAGATTTTGCATTATCCTTCCCTTGGAGTGGGGTGGGAATGGAGATTTTGCAGTATCCTTCCCCTGCCATGCCCACCAAGCCACACCCACAGAGCCAGTAGTAAAAAAAAATTAATTTCACCACTGCCACACACTCTCAATAGCCACAGCAGATTTCAGCACTTAAGAGATAAAGAGACAGCTAGGTTTATTCATAAGCAAATGCCCTCACCCAAGATCCAACAAAGGTAGGATTAGCCCTCTACCCATCTAGCAACAGAACTCACTACATGATACCTGGAGAGATTGCATCACCCAGCAAGACTCAACCAAGCCTGGGACTCAAAAGGTAACCTACAAAGTTACCTCTGCATGGCCCCATGGGAGTCTGACAACCAATCAGAATACAAGCTCAAATTCAAAGCCCAACAGAGGGTATAAATCTTTCTCTCTCTCTCTCTCTCTCTCTCACCCATATGCCTTTTTTTTTTTTTTTTTGCCCAGGACCTCAAACCCATGTGGTCCTGTCCACCAACAAACCATTTTTTCAAGCAGTCTCCATGTTTCCAGTGTCTTTCTCCCCACTTGGAACTGAACCCATATGTGCCTGCCTTCCGCGCATGTGCTTTGCTCATGCGTGCATCAGGGGTGGGTTCTACTTACTTTTACTACCGGTTCGCAATGGGAGCGTGCGTGCTTCTGCGCATGCGTAGATCGTCAATTATGATGTCTGGGCAGTTGGGCAGAGTCTCCCGACGCTTTTACTACCGGTTCTAAAGAACTGGACAGAACCAGGAGCAACCACCACTGGCGTGCCCATGCAGCCAGCCTTAAAAATGTGCCTAAATAGGACGGCATAGAGCCAGGGCAGGTGGGCGGGCCAACCCAAAATTTCCGCAACCGGTTCGCTTGAACCAGTCCAAACCGGCTGAATACCACCACTGATCCCTTTTGTAATCTAGAATACATGACATTGGGAATTAAGTATTTTTGGATTTTCTTTTTTAGGGAAACTGCATATAAAGCTAGCAAGGTTAAGAAGAAAAGGAAACATTTGATCCCACTTATGGAGTCTTCGGATGTGTAGCCCTTCATTTATACTCTTCAACGGGTTTTTAAGACCTCCCAGAGAGAGCAAGAAGAAAAAGCGGATGAAAACAATTTGTTTGCGTTATTCGCCACTTAAGTCTCCTTTCTTTTGGAGCATACACAACAATACATTCTTGCCTGGGAAGGTTTGTTTTCCACTTTTCCTTCCTGGAGAGCTCCTTGTTGTCATTCAGGAGACGTGCACACACAGGTTTCGGAAAGCTAATAGCGTAGGTTAAAAGCCAGCCATTCCCACTTGACAAGAATAAATAAACATGTTGTGCTGATAGCAACATCCTGAGGGTCACCCCACTCCATATCTCGAATGCAGCTTGGCTGATCCAGCGAGCTGCAGCTCATGCCTTCCGATTACATCTTCTAGTTGGAGAAGCTGTGACCGGATTCTTGATTTTTAGCCAAAATTAAAAAGCGATTGTGCC